ACAAAAAGGACATTCGTGTCATCTTCACATAACACTATGTTTTTGCATCCTTCTATATTAACAATGTCATTTATGTAAATTAAAAACCAAACCAGTCCAAAGAGAGAACACCGAGCTACTCCATATCTTATAGGGTGCGTTTCACATTTAAAGTTATTGATAATTGTGTACCGTGACCTGTCAGTTAAATAGTTTTTTTTTTATTAGAGACAGCACCATGCCACGGAAACCGTACAGGGACAGTTAGCGAAAGAGAAGCTCGTGTTGTACACAGTCAAGGGCTTTTCTAACGAGACCCCTAGTAAGAAGATTCTTTTTCTCAAGGATCGCTTCTTTAATTCTCAGGCGCGCCGTCTCCGCTGATTTGGTCTTACAAAATCAATATTGCTCATTAGCAATTATATTATGTGCGTTTCAAAACCCCGTTATCCTCTTATTGATAATGTGCTTTTCTATTTTTCAGAATATAGAAAGTATGGATATGGGCCTATAATTGTCCAAATCGTCACATGACCATCCTTTTTATATTGCGGTGACTCTGGCTTCTTTCACTTTGCTTGGAAATTTACCAGTCGACATCATCGTGCAATATATATGTGTAGGTGGAACTGAAATAAGAGAACTCACAGCTTTTAACGATCTAGCTTTGATTTCATCTGTTCCGCAGGCGCAGTTGTCTTCGAGGGACATTATAATATTTTGTACCTCCTCATGGTCTGTTGGTGACAGGAACATTGGTGGCAAGAAGTTTGTAGCAATATAGCTCTCACAGCAAAAGTGAGAAAAGTCATTTGTAGAGAAAGCCCACTGAGAGAAAGTGTTGATTAAACAAATCTGCAATGTCTCTCTCGAATGCATTCGGTTTGTGAAAGTGGACCTCTGCTACCCCTTGGGCTTCGAAATATTCTCTCCCAGAACGTTTCCCATATTATCCTGGAGTTATCGGAATCACTAATGAACCAATGTATTATTACTCCGTCTTCGCCCGCTTTACGTCCTTATTCATGAAGGAGAAAAAAAGAACAACCCTTTTTTTCTCTATAAAATACACTTGTTTCTCTTTCTTTCCTACGGAGGACAAATATGGAAGGGGGGGGGGTGATTCATTGATTTGTAGGGTTTAACGTCCCAAAACCATCATATGATTATGAGAAACGCCGTAGTGGAGGGCTCCGGAAATTTCGACCACCTGGGGTTCTTTAACGTGCACCCAAATCTGAGTGCACGGGCCTACGACATTCCCGCCTCAATCGGAAATGCAGCTGCTGCAGCCGGGATTCGACCCCACGACCTGCGGGTCAGTAGCCGAGTACCTTAGCCACTAGACTACCGTGGCGGGGCAAATAGGGAAGGGGGAAGACAGTTACGTATCGCTCCAAGGTTATTTTTCATTTGCGTAAACTGATTTACTGCGTGTCTCGGTTTCGCTTAAAGGCACGAAAAGATGTCACCTAATACCGCGTGTAAGGATGTGCGGCTCGTTGGTCTCTCGCCAGCCGCAGATCACGGTTCTGTTTGCGCACGCGGCGCTACGTGAGACGGCCGCCGTATAATAGGGGCCGTCCCGACCAACATCTGCCTCGCTGCAGTTTTTTTGTGTCGTCAATCAGACGTCCCATTGAGCCCGACACGACGGCGGTCACTGTAGAGGAAACGCTCGCCTTGATGCATGTCAGGTGGCTTCACTGCGCTCTTATAAACTGGCCCTGACTCTCAGACAGCCGGTAATGTAAGGGGGAAAAAAATCAAGGTAACTTAACAGTGCCGAGCTAGCAGGAACAGCGGAGCTGAGCAGCCTGAATGATGATGACGATGTTGATGCTTCTACCACGGCTCGCACCCACTCACGGGTATAGGCCGAAAATTGGTTATACAAACTTTTAGGTCTTTTTAAGTATTGAATAATCCCAACAAAAAAAGAACATACTTAAAAACAAATAGTGCTATGATCGTTTTGGCCATTCAGCTTATAGTAATTTCTATATCTTGGATATAAATTACGGTAATATCGAAATAAAAATAAAATACATGTTTTTAATTTGCTCGTTACTGCTATAATAATGCGTATACAAGTAGAAATTTAAAGTCGCATTCCTTTTGTTTCATGAAGGTAACTGCAAACGGCACCAAATGCCGCCCCGTGGCTGAAGACCAGATCCAGAGCACCGATGGTGAGTATAATGTCAATCGTGAGCAGCCTTCCTTGTTCCTTTTCGGTCTACTCTTTAACTCCTACTTTTTTTTCTTCTTTTCCAGTTTTTCTGTTTCTCTCTTTTATTTTATTCTCGAAACGCACTGTTGGGCTAGTTGGTTCACATTCGCAGTGAAACAGTGCCAGCGAGAACAACAGAGCAGACGTGAACAAAAACCGGAGCCTCGCTATAGTGTATACGTATCTTCCTCCTTGTCTGGTCTGTCGTCTTCTCTGGCGCTGTTCTACAGCGAGTATATATTGCGAGTTTTTTTTTTCATACTTTAGTTTTACTTCTTTAATTTTTTTTTCTATTTCGCGCTTGCCTCTTTTTTCTTCTATTTTTATACGCAGTTTTGACTGCGTTACGCCAAGTGATGACCGCATAGACAGCCCGGACAATTAAAGGGCTTCGTACTCAATGTAATTATCAAGGCACCAGAAGAAGAAGAAGAAGAAGAAGAAGAAGAAGAAGAAGAAGAAGAAGAAAAAGAAAAAGGAAAAAAAAGAAAAAGAAGAAAAAGAAAAGGAAAGAAAAAAAGAAAAAGAAAGAGAAAAAGAAAAAGAAAGAGAAAAAGAAAGAGAAGAAGAAGAAAAAGAAAAAAAAGAAAAAGAAAGAGAAAAAGGAAAAGAAAGAGAAAAAGAAAGAGAAGAAGAAGAAGAAAAAGAAAAAGAAAAAAAGAAAAAGAAAGAGAAAAAGAAAGAGAAAAAGAAGAAGAAAAAGAAAAGGAAAAAAGAAAAAGAAAAAAGAAGAAGAAAGAGAAAAAGAAAGAGAAAAAGAAAGAGAAGAAGAAGAAGAAGAAGAAGAAGAAGAAGAAGAAGAAGAAGAAGAAGAAGAAGAAGAAGAAGAAGAAGAAGAAGAAGAAGAAGAAGAAGAAGAAGAAGAAGAAGAAGAAGAAGAAGAAGAAGAAGAAGAACTTCTCTTTGACCCGATCGAGCGCTCAATATGCTACATATGGCTATGGTCTATTATCTCGTTTTGCCTGTGTTACGCCAAGCGATGACAGCATATGACCGCATACGACAGCCCATGCCCCTAAGGCGCGCACTTGAAAACCCCGTCGAACCAACTATGCGAGAAGTTTGTACAAGGACTTAGACAACCATCCCGGACACATTTAGTTATGCATTCCGTGAGCACGCACTTACTCATTCGACCGTTATAATGCGCGCTACTATTATAGCCAGATGTCTGATACAACGAAGTCGCTTCAAGGTTCCGAGAGCATCGTTGTTAAAGCATTCCACCTCAAGTGCGAAACTGGTGTTTTTCAGTAGCATGAATGACCGCAAGGGATAGCCCGTTACTTGCTTCCTTTTAGGGTCGAATGGTCTAGGGCAGTCCATCCCTCTGGCGTAGCCAGCGCAGCATATCCACAGACAGACAGACAGACAGACAGACAGACAGACAGACAGACAGACAGACAGACAGACAGACAGACAGACAGACAGACAGACAGACAGACAGACAGACAGACAGACAGACAGACAGACAGACACAAAAATTATATGTGGGGTCTCACGTCCCAAAATCAGCAAATGATTATGAGAGACGCCGTAGTGGAGGGCACCAGAAATTTCGGCCACCTGGTTTTCTTTAAGGTGCACCCAAATCTGAGCCCACGGGCCTACAGCATTTTCGCCTCCATAGAAAATGAAGCCGCCACAGCCGGGATTGGAGCCCATGACTTGCGGGTCAGCAGCCTAGTGCCTTAGCCACTAGACCAACACGCGAGGTCCGACAGACAGGCGCTTCGCCCCACTCATCATTATTGACTCCGTGGATATGCTGTGATTTTTTTAGGGTGACGACGCTTCAGAAAAAATAAGGAACAGAATTTCTTCAGCTTAACAGTGCCTGATAGTAGCTTATTGACGGACTCGCCTTCGAGTTTACAAAGCATGCCTAATAACATTTCTTGTGTACAGGAACTGGTTTTGAAAAGACATCCCCGAACAAGACGGTACTGAAACGCCACAGGCCGAACACAAATAAAAAAAATTATCTGTTATGCGTGGCGAACCTTAGATAATGTTCTAAAATGCACAGACTGGACAAGTCGAGGTAATAAACTTCGCCTTGACGTTCTTTGCAACGCCACGAGCAGCTGCAGAGTGAACAATGCTGTGAAAATCAAGGAACAGATAGAAAGCAGTAAGAACGGAAATCAAGGAATAAGTACACACAAATGTAGATTGTTCTTTGTTGCTGCATTTTTCTTTTATCTCGGATCGCCAGTTTGAATCGCAAGCAGTGAGTTTGCAAGCATCGCAAGCAGTGAATCTTCGTTGAGTAGCTCCCACCAACACAAGCTGTAAGTGCACACCACTGCGATGAGGGAACTACCCACTCTAATCACAAAAATAGCAAAGTTGCAGTACTTCAGACGTAGCTTCAGAGCCTTTCCATAAATCACAACTGGCAGCCTAGCTGACTGTGCAGCTGCACGCGGGAATTACACCGTAACCACCTCATACCATCTGCCTTCCATTCCTTACGCCATTATCCGGTACATTTACACTGGTGTGCTTTCCGTGCGCCTTTTAGGAGTGTTTTAGCGCCTGCAGACATGACTTGTGCTTTAAGAGTACGCTGACTCGACGGTTACGCGTGAGTGAATGCTTGCGTTAATCTAGCAATGCAAGGGCCTTGCTCGCCTATAGCGCTGAGAGCTACGCTGGTGTCTGCGTTTCCCAACTTTTGAACGCGAGCCAAGTCAAGGGAGTCTCACGTTTTTTTTTTTTTTTTTTTTTTTTGGGGGGGGGGGGGGGCTCCGCCATAATTGCCCTCCCAAAGCTCGAACAAACAGAGGCGTGCAATACGTGGCCGGCGCAGCAGCAGAAAGCAGACATATCGACACGTCGGCGCCGGAAAAAAGATTTCCGTCACACATCCGGCCTCCACACAAGCTAGTTGCCGCTGCTTCAGTTTCGCCCGTCGGTTGGGCTCGACATTTCAACCGTGACAGGCTGTGCGCGGTGATGTTGTAGTGCAGTGCTGCAAACGACGTGCTCAGGACAACTCTTCGCTTCCTCGTGCGTGCTACGTCTTGGTCAAGGCCGAGGTGCGAGAGGAAGAAGCCGTCGGAGGAAGATAGAAGCGGAAAAAAAAAAGATTTAAGAACAAAGTCGCGCGTGAGTACGCGTACGCGATACCGTTTGGAAACCCAACGACCGGAACTGGCGGACCCATCAGCAGCCGTCGTCTGAGGGGCGGGGAAACGACGCTCCCGGTTGAGGACAAGCGATAGCTGCCGGCACCGGCATTTCATCCCTCCACCCACACTTAACCAGGAGCCCGCGCGCGACACTTCCGTCGGTCTTCACCGAATCTCGGTAGTTGGGAAGCGATTGTCAACGAGCAAGCTCCGCTGGCCCGTCTTCCCGCCTCCCTGTCCAGAAAAAAAAAAAAGGCAAGAGCGAAAGACGGATGGTGTGTGTTTCAGCGATGCGGGAGAGCAGCGGCTGAAGAAAGCGAGAAAGTGACAGGCAGGCCTTTCCCCTACAGCCGCCGCTTCTGCGGCCAGGCAGCAGGGGCTGCCGCGTCTGCCGTGGTTCTTGCCTCTGTTGTTGTGAGTCAGTCGTAAGGGCGAAAGGAACTCCACCGCCGCTACGCGGCCTCCGCCGCGCCCGCCGTAGTGCGCTCGCTTCGCTTCTCGGCTGTCACTCGGAGACGAGATACGCGGTGAAGGCGCGTCGTATCTCTCGAATTTAGCCGAACCCCGCCACAACGAGAAGGAAGTCAGTCTGTCTGCCCATTCGGCTGCCGCCGTTCACGGACAGGATACTACTCGGTAAGACCACTCTACTCTACGTGGTCCTCCTGGTTAACCACCCAGCATCTGATAATCGCCGTCAAAGAGCACTTGTAAGTCCGTCATGCCATTTTTTGAATGCGGTTTTTGTTTTTCTCAAAAGAGAGGGATGCAAAACTACACGGGGCATCAATGACCCGATGGTCGCGGATTTGAATCCCGGTCGCCGCATCTCAGTTTCAGTGTAGGCCGAATGATATAAACCCGCGTGCTTAGTCTTAAGAATACACGTTAGAGAACCTCACGTGGTCGATATTTTCGGAGCCCTCTTCTACGCCGTTCTTCATAATGATATCGTGGTTTTGAGGCGTAAAACCCACAACATTTATTTGCACATGGCTTGATAGAGCAACAAAGTAGCGAATGGCAGGGACAGACAACATTAGTGCTCTTTTCGTGCGGATTCGCATGGTGAATATCGCATTCGTTTATGCAATACCGCTATCCAATACTCTAGCATCCGCCCTTCTTGCATAGTTTCTTTTTTGGTAGTTTTATTGTTTGTAGAGGTAATAAGTGTGCTTTTTGTTGCCGGTTATTCTTCAAAGCGGTGTTGTGGACTTTCTTTAGACGCGACAGCACTTTGGATATAGTGGAGGCTCGACGCTCCTTAGCGTGCGTGTGTTAGTACCATTTGTGAACTTTCCCAATCTCTTCAGTTTATGCATTCATGTTTCCGCGTGGGCTTTAATTGCGCCACTCTTAATGTTAGGGACGATCTTCTGCCCCCCCCCCCCTTAGTAGAGTACCAAGTACTTTAAACTCTTAAACATTTTTACAAACACACAATTAGGCTGGCGCGGCTTTATGCTCTCCCATAGTATAGTACCAGGTACTCTGAATTTTTAAACACTTTTTTAAATGCGAAGCATTTTTTAGCGAACTTCGGCGACATTGAGCGTATATATATATACATATATAAATATATATATATATATATATATATATATATATATATATATATATATATATATATATATATATATATATATATATATATATATATATATATATATATATATATATATATATATATATATATATATAAACTTCGAGAATAGTGCAGTATAGGAAACAAAACAATAAAATATTTATTTAATCCTAACAGTTTCGGCTGGTGGACCAGCGTTCTTCGGAGGATGTAAGTGAAATGATACAAGTTCCCGTAGCAGAGGGTCACCCTCACAGTTTAAAGACCCTCCAAAAAAAAAAAAGAGACAAACGGGCGGACGAGGTAGCAACAGACAACAAGAAGCAGAAGAAGGAGAGGAACTAGAAAGGAGCGACGGAGAGCCGCCGGAAACGAGCGGGTAATTCTGACATTGTTACTGGGTATAGGTAAGACGCGCCGCCAGCGGAGGCGACCAAGAAAAACGGAAAAATGTGGAACATGTTGCCGCTTACTCGCATCCCACACATGCATCGAGTTTAGGTTCACGTGGTTTTTTTACGGTAGCCGGAAGAAACTCTGATCATCTATTTCATCCATATATATATATATATATATATATATATATATATATATATATATATATATATATATATATATATATATATATATATATATATACATATATAGCCGCCTACCTACGACTTTCAGCTCTGCTGGCCGTTTCGTTACTGGTATCGATACAAAACTTGGCATGGCATAACACGACGGTATGAAGAACATATGTGACTAGTCATAACATGAAAATCATGACATGCGTGTCATGTAACAACATGACTACATGCCACGCTCGTAATGCGCTCACGGCCGTTTTGCTAGCGTCACATGTACCAAATTTGGTATTACACTACGTCAGTGGATCATGAAGGTATGCGACTGGCGAAAGCAGGATAATCATGGGATGCGCGTCATGTAACAACATGACTGCATGCCACGCTCATGATGCACTGGCGGCCGTTTCGCTAGCTTCACTTATACCAAATTTCGTATTACGGGACGTGAATGGATGACAAAGGTATGATACTGGTGCAAACATGATAAACATGAGAGGCGTGTCATGTAAGAACAAGACTACACGCTACGCTCATGATGCGCTTGCGGCCGTTTCGCTAGCTTCACATGTACCATACTCGGTATTACGCGACGCGAACGGATGACATAGGTAAATGACACATCCAAACATGATAATCACGACATCCGTGTCATGTCACAACATGACTACATGCCACACTGATAATGCGCTCGCGGCCGTTTCGCTAGCTTCACATATGCCAAATTTGGTATTAAGTGATGCCAATGCATAGCAAAGGTATGTGACTGGTGCAGACATGATAATCATGAGATGCGCGTCATGTGACAACATGACTTCATGCCACAGTCAAGGCGCCAATACATTTCGACGTTAAGCGGTGCACGCGGTCGCCGACATTCATTTCGTCGCGTCACGCCAGTGTTGCCACGCCAGGCAACCAGTCCTGCCACATACTCGCACACGCGCGCCGGGCTGCGTTGGTTTGACGCATGCGCGTTTCGGCGCATCCAGCGTCCTTAGTCACGAAAAGAAGGAGTGCATGGGCGCGAAATGCAGCATGTCGCATTTCGCATTTCGCGCCAGTTGCCGTTGGGCCGCGCCGACGGACGCTGATCGCGCCTGGCGTCAGAATATAGAGTGCTCGCGTTTTGCTAACGTTGCGTCGCTGTGCCCGGCGTGCGCGCGCGTCAACGCTACATTGGAGTATATTGAGCGCTTCATGATGTGCTCGCGGCCGTTTCACTAGCTCCACATGTTACAGTGAATTTCGTGTTACATGACGTCAATGGATGACGAAATATATGATGGGTCCAAGCATGATAATCCTGACATGCGTGTCATGTAGGAACATGACAACGTACCACGGTCGTAGCGTGATCCCGACTGTTTCGCTTCCTCCACATATATTAAATTTGGCATCTCGGGACGAGAATAGATGACGAAGGTAAACAACATTTCCAAACATGATAATCACGACACAGCGGCATCATTTAGCTCCACCTCTTGACGTTTAGCTGATTTTAAAGTGGCATATCAACATTTCTCATTCGTGCTTCGCATATTGTCGATTCCCACTGTACGTGGGATCTGCCATTTTTTTCTATACAATTCTCTACGTGGTGTTATCTGAGAATGCTTCCCGCTCTACCATATTAGAGTACCAAGTACTCTAAATAATCAAACACTTTTTTGTAAACACACTTTTTGGGTAGCCCACCATGCTGATGCTGCTTAACCTCGCTATACCACTTTCTACGTCTTAAAATGCAAGCAAAATAAGAGAAACAAAACCCAATGAAAGGCTACAAGCAACGAGATTTGAAGAAAACGTGAGTGCAAGTACACAGTGTCTGTATTTACTATAAAGCAAACAAATGGTTCTATATATAGTGAATATATATTAACATTATGTTAGCAAATGGTTCCATATACTGTTTGCATTATGTCTAGCGACGTTGCCTGTATACAGATCTCTTACTAAGATACATCCTTGGATCAACTATCTTGAACTTTCAATCACTTTTACCTCAACACTTCTCTGAGTGCTGGGCACAAGTTTTTTTTTTTCGCTGTAATGTATGTGCGCTTATAGCACTTCAGTGGATGTCGAGATAACAAATGTTTGATTTTCTGCGTTAGTTCCCCCCCTCCTCCCACACAGACAGGAGCTCTGTGCCAAGGAGCACGTGGGCGTGTTTGACCACAACGTAAAAACCATTTTTACATCTTGGACTCAGCTGTACGCTAATTAGCATAGACTTGAGCTTGATGTCACTGTCAGGTTGATAAGCAAAACAAAAACAATCGAAATCTAGAAGTTTGATTCTGGATGGGCCCCATTGCGATTGACATCACCGTAATGCAACCCAATCCAATTTGGCTATTTCGAGGCGTCTACATTTAAAAGGAGCTCTTTCTTTTATCGCCAGCTAGCTATCCTCGCTGCTCTCTATGTCTCTGTCATAACACAAAAACAAAAACCATGGTGAAAGAAACTCCGCTGTGCAGACGCTTATCAGAGCTCCGGTTCTCATATTTAATTACCGTGCAATCACTGTGGACGTGCTAAGAGCGCGCTATAAGTGTTATCTAGCGAGCTCATTTATAACTGTGCCGCTCCTATAAAGACGATAAGCAAAACGTGCGGACGCGGCTCTTTACGGCGTAATTGAAGCCTTGTGGCATTGAAGACATCAAGTCTGGCACCTGAGGAAAAGACAACCCCCTGAAATTCTACGTGTAATTGGCATAGCAAAGAGGGAGGAGGGGTGAGCACCAGACAAGCACGGTTTGCTAATTGAGTTGGTATAATGCATCGTGCGCAAGAAAAGGATAGACTGCTATTTTTTTTTACAGATAAAGAATTACCTACTTGCTCAAACATACGCTTTCGAAGTTTTCTTCGTCACAGTGAGCTGATGTGGGAACTACAACCCGCGTTGCCAGGCGTCTTCCCACTTTTGCGTTTTTCAAGCATTTTCTGTCGACAAGAGCAGTGTTCCAAGTATTGTGAAAACCTAATGCTTCAGGCTTCGCAGTTAAAATAATTATTCGCTGTAACGTCCTTCCGACTAGACGATGGGTGGGGCGTGTTCCATGCACGAAACAGAGATAGCCCAAACTATAACGAGTGTGGTGCAAAAGTCGTGGGTTAATTGGTCATCGCAATACCACTAAAAGCACGTTCTGATACGTTTCTCTGCAGCATATTCAAACCCCCACGTAGTGAAGCCCTCGGCTGCGCAAACTTCGCAACAGGTAATGTAGTTTGGTAATGTCCAGCGTAATAAATAAGCGAAAAAAAAAGATATCATCACGACATGTTCGAAGTAGACGGTATAGCACGCGACGAGAGACATATTCTGCGACCTTGTGTAATCTTCGAATGTAACGTGTAGCCTCCTTTAAAAAAAAACTTGGTGAATCAAAATGTTGAATAGCTTCCAGACGATTGTTATTTTAAAGACGTGCGCAGTTGAAGAGTGCGAAGTCCAATCGAAAGAAAGAAAGAAAAAAAAGAAAGAAAAAAAGAAAGAAAGAAAGAAAGAAAGAAAGAAAGAAAGAAAGAAAGA